CGGCATCATAATAAGATGCGCTCTTGTCACATTGTAACGACGAATTCACAATTCAGTATGCCCACTCGTCTTACCCTGATCCTTTCTCAGATTTCAAATATTGGTCTTAATTAAACATCAATTTACAGAGATAGAATTTATCTTTTGTTCTGGTCATGTTTTTAATCAGGAATAATTCTGGTGCTTCTTTATTTGTTAATTAGGCGAGGCATCTCGAGGTGCATATTATACCAGACAAAATGAACTGAATTTCATTCTCAACCGTTTTATGTAAATATCATTGGATGCTGACAGATAATACAATACACGTGTGTCAGGCGTGTATTAAAGGAATTTTAACGAAGTATTCTTTTAGTCCTCGTATGAATATCGGGTACACTTAAAGCTATCATTTGCCCTAACCTGAAATCTCCTTGGATGGTAATTCTAAAACAAACTGTGCACTTACAGATCCCCAGACAGTTAAGAATAGAAAACGAGTGCAAAATTTCCAGCATTGTACACTGCGTCGCTTTACCCGTCTTTATTAACCCTGTGCAGAAGAGTAGGATCCAAAACTCCATTCTTTTTATTCGTTTTTTTAATTCTAGAAAAATTGGGCCAAATATAATAACGTCAATATGGCAAAAACGTCTTCTGACTTCCTAAAAACCTGTGATTGCGACTAAATAATCCAGTCTTTACTTTTGAAATTGCCGGAACCACGTAAATCTGGTGAGAAATTTGATTGATGCTAATGGAAAGTATAAGTATACCGGATACACATACAAAGACTAGACTTACATTATTTTCAGAAATATTATACCCTCGGAACTATTTCTTTATATTAATAATATTTACGCAAATTTTAATTTATTACCTGATCTTGATAAAATGTCCATTATTCTGCCTAACGTAAAGTTGTGAAGAAAAGCGCCAAAGCCTGCTATGATATTCTTAATGTAAGAAAACAGTGTTTGTATATTTCTAGTTAAATATTTTATTTATTTTTATTGTTTATATGTTAATTTTTGTTTTAGCCGTATATTGATTTTAATTGCAGTGATATTTGAATTGTCTTTTTAATTCTTTTATAGAATGGCTATTTGTGCAATTTGTTTTGAATATGTTGTATGTATTATGTTTTAATATTGTACAAATTGGTGGGCGTAAATACAATTCTAAAAAATATTATTGAAAACTTCTCTTATGTTAATTATCATGCTCTTTGTTCGCAAATTGATATAAAAAAAAATTTAACTTTCTATTTGTGGTAAATATATTATACCACATATTACATATAAAATTAAAATTAGCATTTATATATTTTCTTTTAGTATAGGCTATGTCTGAAATAACGTTTTTATTGTCGTGTTTGTAAACCATTAATATTATAAAAAAATGAAATATAATGTATATTGGCTTCTTGTAATTTCATATCAAATCAAATTGCGTGACACGTAATTAAACTCCAATTGCAAAAAGATGAATATTTCTTGCGGAACAATCAGCCATTGTCAGTTTTCAGAAGGTCATACAAACATGAAAAATAGTTCGGTAATATCACAGGCGGTTGTTCATTGCTCTACATTATCAGGTAAAAGCACCAGACATTACTTAAGAATGTGTTATATTCCAAGATATTGTCTGCTGTTGTTATCAGTGTACTGAAAGACAATTAAACATAATCTAACTATGGTTTATAAAGATAGATGTAAAGACATTACTCAGCATTTCCTTCTGCACTGAACCACATTAAATCGAGAACGGGATGAGTTATTCGAAGCCATTTTTAATGCTTTGACGTCAGTGTATCGACTTTGCTATGGAACAGTGACGATGATCTGACGAAGTAGAAGCTTTTCTGGGTTCTCGCACGGAGAAATTAAGGGAGACTATAATCCAATACGATGGCTGGTGTCAATTTATGGTCGCTGTTGCTGGTTTGATTGATACAAAGTGGAAAACTGCCTTAAAGAACTTTAACAAGCCTTGTTGTGCTTATTTCGCGTTTCATAAATTGTATTATTTTATTTTGTATGTATTTATCTTGAAAAGGGGAAATGAAGTTAATCAATCATCAATCAATCAATCGATTTTAAGAGGATTGTAAAGAAGTTCTCGAAAGTAATCGATGACGTCACCAATCGCTTTATCACATATTAAGGCCCTTCGCAATTAGTGACGTCATCAGACGCTTACTAAAACTTATAGGGGAATTGCAGGAACCACAAACGTCTGATTGAAAATTGGAATAGTGCATATTAATGCTATCAGTGTTCCCGATACACATACAAACAAACCCTTTAACCCCAGTATTGTCTGTCTGCTTGTATTATTGTTCTTAATAAGACTGATCTTAAGATAATATTTTTATAAGTTGAAATAACAAAATCGTTATCAATTGTTTCTATAAAATATGGTTTGAGGCACAATTTACCCGATTTGAATTGTAATCTGCTTCAAAAACAAAACTCAAACCACCGTGCCATGTAAATAAGTTCTTGGCCGAAGTGGCAAGATTCCTGAAGGGGTTAAAAGTACGTAATTTTTTTTTATACAAGACATTGTAATGTAGCGGTATATTGAAAGAAATGAAAAGGGATTGGTGCAGAAATTCTAATATGAAAATAACTTTGATTCTATTCTTCGAGTATTTCTAAAATCATATTACAAAGAAGTGTATTAACGTCGAAGTAAACAAGGAATTTCAAAAACCAAAAGAACTGGTTGGACATTGTAATGGTTTAAATTGATGTTATCAGTGTCTCTGATAAACATAATATGTCCAGAAAACCTCTTTACAATCCTTTTAATAATTTGGTGTGCGTATACAGACACAATCAGTAAACTCATGCTGTGCATAAATAATAGATTAACAAATTTTCTTCGGTTGTGAAATTCCTGTAATTCTTGCAATTAAGGGGAGATAACTATTTTTCTCCCAGATGTAGTGCAAAACACAGATTACAATTAACTTTTATGACCACTTTCAATACTCGAAAATAGTTTCCGAATTGGAAGTTATCAGGTAAAGGGAGGTAACTAAATTCTTGGTATAATATTTCTCAATTCTAACTTCAGCAGTTTTAAAACTAAAGGCTGTAAACTTTAATTGTTTCTTCACGCGAATACATAAGTATATTTGTTTATAATTTCCTTTTGTCGAAGGCAAGTTGTAAGTCTGAATTCACGATGTGCTTTTTATAGAGCTTTTCGGCATTAAGCTAGCACAGTGTCCTTGACCCTTCTTCAATGTTGTAGGTCTACTGATCATGCAGTATGTACTTGTCTGCCTTGTAGCTGCCTTGTATATTTGCTGAAGTGTTGATCATCAAAATATGCTCTTTACTTTAGTTCAAGTTACTTTGAGCTACATCTTCACAATGGTCAAGGTATTACATCTTCATCTTATACCTTGACTGTAATGGTCTACATACTTGTTTTACCAGCCATTTGATTGGCCTGTACGCCAGCGAATACAACACCCTCGATTTGGGGAGTATTTTTGACAGTCTTTCAGTCGAGGGCCAAAAGATTGGCCGTTTCGCTATCGTACATACAATCAAATTGTTGCATTCACAAACCTCCATGAAAAACAAAAAGTGGGCAGTCAAGGTCTGGGTTGAAGATATAATTGACTATTGTGAAGATGCTTCTACGTTAACGCCATACAATCTAATTTTTATGTAATATTACTCCAGAAAGAAATCTAATTATGAAGAAAACTTGTGATCATGTCAACCTGTCAACTTGTACAAGGTAACATTTTCAATTTCGAGAGCAGAATAGATAAAAAAAAACTTGATATGGTTTGTTCGTTTTTAATGAAATGAAGGACATGTTAAACTAGTTTACCTTGCTATCTAAAAGGATAAGAAGATTTGTAACGATTCAGTAAATGGAGAATTTTTAAGTGTATTTTGATTGACGTTTCATCTTCAACCGGAAGCTGATTCTCGGATACTCTTTAACGTGTAAGGTGTTAACGGTACTTTCAGATCCTCGATCGCGTAGATATCAGAGTAATTTTAAATTTCACGCTTTAGGTTGGTATTAAACTAAAAAGAAATACTATTAACCCGAGTGCTATTTTTGTAATTGTTGTGTTGGTTTTTGTACATTTTAATCAACTGGATGTTAAAGTATATAATTCTTCGAGCACGGAATATGTACAGTAATCGTTGTGTATGGTTTATGAAAAGGAATATCACCTTTAAGCAACCTACTTTTTGAATTTATCCAGAGCAAGGTGAAATTTCCGTCCGGTAATCTTTGAGATTCTAAGAAAGCTCGAAGTTTCACAAAAAAGTTGAAATGTCCTTTTTTATTAGATAAACTAGATAGTGTTACAAAGCAGATCTATATTACATACATGTACGTTAATAAACTTCTCAATAAATAAAGACTAATAAAAACTTCATGTGGTTATGGTGGAATGTATTCCATAATAAAGAATCTATAGAAATTTGTGAAACTCTGGAGATTATATAAAATGATTAGGAAGAAATAGTAATAACTAGTTTCATGTTGCTATTACTGCTGAAATGTGCATGCCAGGGCGAAATAAACAATCTTTTAACGTCTCTATCCCACGAGAATATAAAGATTATCATAATACATGTAAACAGAATACATCTTCGTCAAAGTTCCCTGTTAGTTTAATTCTTAAACACGACAGCAGACTGAGCTCTTCTTGTACTATCAATGGAAATTTAACTAAAAGCAAGTGTTTTTAATATGGTGGACATGATATGAAATTAATTATAGTTTCTTGTGAACGATTTTTTTGTATTATTATTAGTGTATATTTAGCATTGGCTTTCGCCTCCATAGCTACTTTCTTGATACAAATTGAAACTGGTTTAAATGTATATCACCTCAACCCCTCTAAAAAGTAGCTCTTTGAGTATTAGAGTTATACCATTCCTTGACACTTTGGTTCTTGAAGATTTTATTATATTTTTTACACAATGGTGGTGGCAATTCAAGCAAATTAGTGATTAAGATCTCGTTTGGTCATGGCGTCATCTTTTTTATCTTCTGAGGTAGGCATAAGAAATTTATCATTTATGTTTATTCTGTGGAGAGCGGTAAGAGTTAGTTAAGTTTTAAGTTTTCATAGCGTGAAACTATGAATAACGACATCTTTCAGGTTCTGCTTTAATATTTCTATTTCTGTTTTGAGTAGATTTTGGCGTTGGAACAACTAGAAAAGAATTGAAGAGGTTTTCAGATGAAGAACTTTACTAATATGAAACTTATTATCTACTCAAGTCAAAAAGATTCCAGCAATTAAAGAAACATGGAATATGTTCATCCATCAATTAGACATCAAAATGATAAAAATAACTAAAACCAGAAAAATGAAATATCCAATTATTATTTACTATGTAGATCTTTTATAATTACATGAATAAGTGGTTTTTGTGTTTACAAGCTGCGGTCAGATCACAATGGTATCTTCAATGGTATCTTGCTATAGCTATCAAGGTGGGGTGTTCCCCACCGCCATTACACCCATACGCATCCATCAATTAGACACCATGGAGATACAAAACAAATTCTTATCGTAAGAGTTTTTGAGAAACGTGGCTCTGGCGTTAAGCTTCATTTCATTTCATTGAATATACCATTAGGTCACACCATTAGAACATTTACTAGTCTGGTTTATAGAGGAGGTCATAGAATGAAAGCAACAGAAGGTCGGGGATGATGGATTCAATGTAGCAAAACTCTTCTGAAGGCAATATATCAACATGTATTTCCAAATCTCAAGGGGTCATAACTGTGAAAAATGATAGGAATAAGAAAGAGAATTATTACAGCCAATAGAATTATATGCTAAGACCACAGCTCGAGCCCAACTAGGAACTTTTAACCCTTTCTGGAAAAACAGTTCAAACGACTTATTACTACCAACCCATCTTAGTATAGCTACCACAAACAACCCAATAATACAAATGTATTCTGGGAAAAGAGCTTCACTTGCTCCAATAAACATCAGGTTGATTGGTCTATACAACCAAACTATTATAAGAAAACAAGCTGAACCAAGCTAGCTACCAATCCATATTAATCTATTCTCGAAGAAAACCACCAACAACCTATTGCTACCAAACTATTCTGTTGGATAGTCTCTAACCAGGGTATTACTACCGATCTATAAGCTTGAGTATATCTCCAAACAACCAAACATCCTCATCCATGTCATTACCACCATATCTTCTAGGAAAACATGCAATTGTTATCAGATATAATCTTGATGAAAACCCCTATCAACCTAGTACTACAAATCTATTCTGGAACGTCTGCAACCGAGTTATTCCAACTTCCAATCTGGGAATACAGCTATTATCAACTATGCTATTATTACAGACCATTACACAGAGAACCTAGTTATTACCACAATCTATTTTAGAAATACAACCAATTGCTACCAATCTATTCCGGCACATCTAAGTTCTTAACATCCATCTATTCTGGTAGAACGACTTTTATCAACTATGCTATTATTACAGACCTATTCTCGGAGAACATCCTAAAAAGAGTTCCAAAACATCCATTCATTCTTGGGGTACGGCTATTATCAACTATACTATGACCAATCTTTTCTGAGAGAACATGCCTGACCAAACTTGAACTTCCTATACGAGTACTGCCAAGAGCAATGTATTTTGTGCTTTACAATGTCTGGTGAAATGAAACATGACACCGGAGATCGAGTAGAATATCATCGTCCTGTATAATCCCAACGGGTGTCTGTAGGAATTTAATTTGTAATACTTCACTCCTGTCAATAATGGGAATAATAAGATGAAACCTGAACCTTCCGTCCAAAACAGGGAAAAGCTTATGAAAAGGTAAAATTCTTTAATGTAAAAGCTGTCTTCTTTGAGAGAAAACTATACAGGTTAGAATAAACAAGATATAGTGTACGACTCGGTTCGATGTACGGTGCTGGATTATCCATATGGTACCTCGTCTATTCGCACGTTAAGAATTACAGTAACCCTAATGAAAAGTTTATGGATTTTTTTATATTCACATGCAAGATTTTACAGCAATGTCTGTATTTGCATGTTACTGGAGCGTTTGCTTACAAAGATAAGTATCGTCAAATGTAGTACCAGGATTCCGTGATCCCAGGTTGCACACAGAGGGTTAAGGGTGCCACTCATGTCGATGTTGTGTCAGGTCCCGTATTCTCGAAACGATCTTAGCTAGGACGTCCATAAGTTCTAAACTTCTACCACTGTTTCTATGATATACTAGGGCTACGATCGTTTCGAGAATATTTGTCCTGATGTGTTTCACACAACAAAGGCTAGTTTTATTGAGTAATTCTATAAGATTTGTATGGCAGGAAGAACGATGAGAGGCCAAATATAACAATCCAATTTATCATAAAAGTACAAAACGATTGAACAACTAACGATAAATTGTGTAATGATGTAATTCGCCCTATGAGATATAAATTGGATAAGTTGACGCATGAAACATTAGATTATAACAGAAGGATTGTCAGTCTATGGAAACAATCGACTTGTTGGTTAGAAGTTCGGGTATCGAGGACTCTTACTGCCCCTGAGAATACTGGATGTTGAATGGTTGAAAAGTTGACATGATATTTGAACCATCACATTGTTACAATATAATACATTTTGATATCATGAATGTAAATTATTTTGTCTTACAAATTATGACTGGAATCGTTCAGTCTGGAGTCTATAGACGAGATCATTAGAGTCTTCAATTGACATCATAAAATCCATTGATGCCATCTTCTACCCGACTGATCGTGTATCATATTTGATATAAATGTTATTATTTCATGTCGGTAATTATAATCGTTTAATCTGCCTCTATTCTTTGTACACGCACTTTTCAGTCTGGCTGTTCGGACTGACCTTTGTTAGTAATGAGAGATAATAAAAGAGGGATTTCCTGCTATGTCTACTAGAGATTTCTCTACATTATATGATCGCTGATCCATTAACAATCCCAATTGTGTACCATCAAATTATTCTGCTAGGATATGCAAGTTTTTCTGATATCTGTACCCTGTCCTACTTGACCTTAAATTCGAACTTTCATTCCGTATCACATACTGTAAGTCGAATCGAGCTGAACCAAATGCAAATATGAATTTATTATTATGTCACGCAAAGTTTGAGAGACTCTTCAATATCATTCAATATCAAGAGTTGATCCTTATAAATGCTGATGTCATTCAAAAAGCATGAGAATAATCTCTAAAAACCTACCGATAACCATTAGTAATATCGTCAACACCTATAAGGTAATCTTTCCCGCGCTCGGCTAAACTAATATCTCCTTTAAGGGGTTTGGAACTCTTTTGCAGCGGTATAGCTCAGTCGGTAGCGAGACGGATCAGATTCGAATCCTCCCCGAGGTAAGGTAAGTTCTGATTCCACGGTCAGTGCCTCCGAAAGTCGGCTAGGTTTTTTCAACCCCTAACAACTATATTATCACAATAATTGACTAAATTGAATTTGTTTCAAAAAGTATGATACCTCATATTATCACCACGACGTCTGTGAAGTTTGTAGGAACAAAGTTGGGAACATGATTGGTGGTTGCGTCCACTTCCCACTGGAGCTGACAAGTGGTTGGTAGTCGCGGTAGTTGATAGTAGAATCAGGATTAACTGGGTGCTACAGTGTGGTTGGTTTCGTATTTAAGAAATCTTCAGACCTGGTCAGAATTATATGCTTTAAGATATTTCAAACAATATCCTCTGTCATTTTCTCTTAAATTATGAAAATTCTGCTTAAAGGTTCTTGTTCCCTTCCGATTCCGTATCAAATAGTTCTTGATCGTATTTATCATGAAAGTGTAATTAAGTTATTTAATTATCAAATCAAGTAACGGATTTTTCTTGAAGTAGGACCGAAGCACCGGAAATGATTGTATTTCCGGTTAATAATTAACCATTTCCGGTGCAATTTTTACTACAATCTATATATTTACATCTGAAATAAAGTTTACCTCCAGTTAACTGATAAAGCTATGTATTCATTCAGTTTACTAGCTGATAAAACCAAATTTGATATCTTTATAGTGTAAAGCCCCTTAAGAGTAAATTTAAAGAGTATGTATATAAACACAATGACGGAACCAAAGTTTGTTACTTCAGTTGAATACAATTTCGATATTCCAGACTCTTTTCAACATGCTTACAACCTGCAGTGCTTCATTTACATTAGATTGCAGGAAAATTGTAATGATTCCTATGAGTACCGGAAATAGATTGCCACGGTGTATAACTCGAATAATTTGATAACTTCATGTATACTCCAGTAATAAAATATGCTATTTCTAAAAACTAATCATCAAAAGCTCATTATACCTAGTTTTTACTGTAATACTTGAATATATATCTATATTACATTACAGTTTCCGCCATCATGGGAAGGACAAAAATTGAAAATGTGATGGAAACTGCTAGTTTTCGACTTCAAGTCGCCGATGTTATAATTTGATGTCACTAGGGTTTAATTATCCCATCTCAGGTTGAGTTGTCCTAGAAATTTTTCGATTAATTTTAAAGATACAAAATATTCTGGAAGTTGGTTAATACCATGATAGTATGGGTGATTAACATTATGCTTTTTATTATCAAGCCGACCATATTTTTTGCTGCGCTATCTGGTGATAGGAAAGTAAAACTCCATCTTCATGTTGTTTATATTCTGTCAAACATATCTCTGCAACTATTTCAGAAGGTGATGAAATATTGTCAAATAAAAATTCAAAGAGAAAATTTGAATTGATTTGAATGTGAATTGATTTCGTGCATTCTGATACATATTTTGGGGTAAAAACGTATAAATTCATCTTTCAAAATTCGTTAAAATTAAGGTGGGTACAGTTGGGGGTACAAACCGATTTTCTAGCAACCCAGCCCCGCCATGTACAGCCACTGGCGCCGCATCTGCATACATCAACAAACTATGATAAAATTTCAGATCCACTCATGTTAATCATAACCTAACACCACCTAGCATAGATGATAAACCATAAGAGGTTGTTATATTTTCAGAAGGTGCCCTACTGATGTGGTGTCACAATTACTCCGATTTTGTATGCAGTTGTAGGTTTTCTTCATTTGATGAAATTTTTATCTTTGATAATATAGCCACAAAGATTATGCTAGGCAGAATTATATTTCATATGATATAAGAATATTGGAAAGGGAGCCTCCGACGTGACATATTACATTTATGATTATATAATTAAAATGCCCAGACGGTGTAGGTCAAATACTGTGTACATTATTCACTGATATATCTTTTTTATTATACTGTAGATGCCTTGAGGTAAAATAATTTCATGTAATATTAGGCTAAAAGTACTCCTCGTATAGAAGTAATACTCTAATTGTAATGTATTTCTTTTCGCTTCCACCATTCTTAAAATGAATAGTCTGATTTTCTTTCTTCTCGTGAAGTTTGAGGCGTGAATTACTTTAAACTTCCTGGGAACGTGTCGAAGAATATCTTTTTTGAGAGCTTTACCTTAAAAAATAGTCACAAACAGCTAATAAAGATTAATCTGTTTACGTAAACGGTACAAATAACGCGTGCTATCATACCGTTTTATTCCATAGATTACATTTAAATCCCAATGAGGGTGATTTTTATATTTCTGATAGAAGATTTACTGTTCTTTGGAAACAAACCTTTCCATGTATGAACACCAAGATCTCTTGAAAATTCTGCTCTTTCGATGATTAACGCGACACAAAGGGTTTAGTTATATACTGATAAAAAAAACCGTCGCAAAGTACAGAAAATATTCAATTGTTTATTCAAATTCAAATTTAATAAAATTATAGATAATTGTCAGAAAACAACCACATTTGAGTGTCTTTCAAGCTATTGCAATGCCATATCAAGGTACTGATTACATGATCTTTACAGATGGTGGCTGAAAGTCAGTATCTGGTGTGTCTGTCCACCTTGTGCGTTGGTAACGGCCCGGCATCTTCTGTACATGGAGTCGCTCAAACGATTTACAGACGCACTTGGAATCTGTGCCCAGACTTTTATGAAAGCTGCACTGAGTTCTGCTGCATTTCTTGGAAGCCGTTGGATCTGGTTTAGTCGTATGTGGATGTCATCCCACAAATGTTCTATTGAGTTTAAGTCCGGGCTGAGCGAGGGATAGGGGATTGCTCTCTCTGGTTATATTGTTGGAGAAAGGTTCCGGTGGCTATGGCAATGTGTGGATGGGCGTAGTAACATTTGTAAGGCAGTAAGGAGCTGTAAGGTCGTAAGCAACGAGTTGTAAGTAACGAAATATTAACGACTACAAGGTAGATGAAAACGATGCTAAGTAAAAGATAAGATAGTATCGTTATGTTAAACGGTAATCAATACAGACACATTGTCTCATTCTATCAGATTCTACCACCAACTATTTCTCTATTGACATTATAATCATAGTCCTTCTTATCACAGCTCACAACTTTTCTTCACAACTTCTTACTCAGCCAGTTTAACAACTTTCTAACTTCGTTAAATGAATATTGAATTTGGAAAAAGTTTCGCCAACTTCGTATAAAGAATATTGAATTAGGAAGAATTTCAGAGACTTGTTCAAGAATAATCTGGCCAAAACACCAAAGATTTATGATAACAAAGAATATAGCCTTTTTCGCAGAACATCGTGTATATTGGATAACGGAAAAATTCTCAAATAATTCTTTGAGATTGCATATAAATTTCTTGTATATCAGCGTGATTTTCATTATAGCTGTGCGTGTACCGTTTGAAAACTGCTGAAAAGGAGTGTTTTATGAGCAAGGAGCATTTGTAAGTTAGTTTTATTTTGTAACAACATATGACAGAAGATTTCAATTCTCGATTCTCGTTTTCTTAGAAACAGTGCTCTTAAGCCCACATTGTCAGAAACCTGGCAGATGATTGAACGTATCTTTCGATATTTTATATTTTTTGTAACAGAAGAAAACATTTAAGTGCTTAATTCTAGCCTCGGGATGAATTTAAACGTTTTGCAATTCATATGTTTAACGAGCGTAGGAGTTCGTTTCTAGTGAAATGTCTACAAGAAACTAAATATCAATGGAACTTTTCGGTGCTTAGATCTTTAAGAACATTTGAAATTAAAACATTAATCCTAGCATTCTAGAAGCAAAAAAGTATGGCAAAACATTGTTAAAAACACATGACAGTAATTGTAATTCTCAGAAACAGCGCTAAATTATTTTAATCGTATGTAAATGTATATATTATAATGTCAGATACTCTGATTGGCTGAGTGGCTTACATTTACCAATCAGATTTCTTGAAATTAGTTAAGTGTGAGCTTTCTGACTGACTTATGAATCTGAAACTGAAGTATTTGAGGGCTTCATCAAGAATTGTGAAGGAGGACGCAAACATATTTGAAAGTAAATTGTAATTTTATAGGAAATATCTGACTCGGAAAGTTAAAAATAGTAGAGCACTTAATACAAATATACATGCTATAAGACCAGACCGTTCAATAAGTCGATGAGATACCATTTGCTGTGATGTACTGCAGTTGACAGGTACAGAGACACTTTTTAAATCTCTTTCTAAGCTTAAGAAGTAACATATAACGGCGAAGTGACTGTTAATTTTAAAACCTGCCGTACTGCAACGTGTTATACCAAACCTCCCACTCGGTTAAGTTATTATCAGAATTTTGTAAGACTATTTAAGATCGAGAAAATCACAGTGGCACAAGTTGACCACAGCGATTTCAGCAAGACAAGTTGTGGTAATACCATTGCCAGTGTGTAATTCCATATTTGAAGTAAATGTGGAATACAGGCAGGTATTTCCGTTTGAACTATCAGTTTATTATTTCCTTTACTACTTGTTCTCCTTGGATAGATATAGGCGTATTTGTCAGAAAGGTTAAAAACCTGTAATGAATATAGGATAAATTGAAATCGGTTTTATTCAGAGCAGTTTATCACGAAGGAAACGAAGGAGAAGTGAATGCAGCGACGAGTTTTTAAAATCAGCTTCAAAGAGCGACCATTTGGATTAATCATCCTTTCTTTTGATCGATCAGATTAGAACGACTCGATATGGCATGTTTTCTGTTCCTCCTTTGATGGGTAAATAGGCTGAAGATAGCTATTATTTTAAATTTTTACAGATCATCGATTTATTGTGGATATTTACCGATACAGACATTTTTTGAATAAGGAAAAGGTTTCCAGATAGATTGTAACTTTATCTCATTCTCATCAACTGTGTTGAAATCGGGAACTATTTTCAGCTGTTTTCAACGTGTTCTTGTAATTCACTGTGATAAAGACTGGCTCCAAAGCTTGAAAGGTTATAGACTTGTCTTTAAGTGGACTTTGTTCTGTTTTTTTCTTGAATGAATGGAGCTACAACTACAACAAAACGCATCAGATTTGAAAAGTTTAAATTCAAATTTCAGTTAGGGACGAAGAAGGCGAAATTTTTCCTGTGGGGACGATTTAGTGCTAGTTATTCGAGTTGAATTTACAGATGAAGATAATGAATTGATTATATAATAGACACAGCAACTTATTGTTTTCCATGTTATCTGTGATCGTGTCATCTGAATAATATCTGTATTCTAACCTGCTGGTGAATATTAAGGAGCACCTTGCTGAGAGTTTAAATATCAATGGCGCTGTCCTCATAAAATATCAGAATCGTGCCATTTGTCTTCAGATTGTTAATGGATTTACGACATTAACACTACATAAAGCAATTGAACTTTTGAGAAAAAAATTTGTGTAACGACAGTTTCAAGTTAATTCAATCGAGTCTGTTTAAATCTACATTTATTCTACTGAGATTTGCTGGTGAGTGTTTAAATCTATCTAATTATATGTCGAATTTTCATGACAAATTTACATTATAAGGAAATCACTGAATGCTTTAGAGACGAAATGAATTGTAAAGTCCAGTAAAAAAGTTCAATTTCAAATCGGTAAGTTGCTAAAGTTTTTCGCGAATCTCAGAAACTATCAGCATCTAATATTTGAAACAACAATTTTACTCTACTAAGAATGTCGCCGAATTAAGTAACGAAATATGTCGTTGCAGTTTCAAACCAATATGTAAGCAACATTTTTTTAGAAACAAGGGCATTCACACAGACAATTGGGAGACCCTAAACACTGATATATGTAGTAAATAAACCATCATATCTGAGGAAGAAGGGTGTTATTACAGTCGCACCCAAAGCTGTGCCCTTTTTTCCCAGAAACGGGAATTTTTTTTAGCTAAGCCAATCAGTTATAGTGTTCACAACTCACGGCCAAATTTGAGATGTAAAATCCATGTGTGTTCAGAATTATCCGCGTTTGAAAGTTAAAAAGTCAATTCGTCTTTTCTCGAGACGCTGTCATATACAGAAAATACATCTATAGAAAAGGAAAAGGGATTCCTATTTTGAGATATTTTTGAAGGAATTATGCGATTTTCGTATATTTCTAGTACTTTTGAAGACTGTTCACATATATTCAAGACTCAAACTAACCCTCCAAAATGGTACAGCTGGTCCCTTAAACGACTGTTTTGTTTCGTTAATTCCGTTTATTTTTCAATCTAAGCTACTGTGTAATTTGTTGTCTTGTTTAAAAGTACAAGATAAATCTTGACCTTGTGTACTTGTAAGATACCGATCTAGTCTGGTCAGATTAGAGACTACACCACATTCTGGCTTCAATACCTCTTTATTATTATCAACAAGAATCTCTAGATATCCACTTATACAGTCCAATAACAAGATAGAAAGGAAAATCATGTTGTTTGTGTTGTGCTGACAATGTTTAGAAAAATTTACGAAATAAACATTTTAAAGACAACAACACTCGATCTGAGAAAAAACATAGCTCACAACTGATTGTTAGAGAATATGAAAACAATGTGAATACCTTAAGCTCTCTATACTAGGTCTTAAATGAAATGAAATGCATTAAGGAGCATCAGCACCAAACGGGCTATATAGCTATACTACATCTTAAGGTATCAACTTTTTAAACATTGTGTGAATGGTATTCAACTTAACAAAATGACGGTTTAAGAATATGAATGATTTATGCAAACTTCCAATAGTATTTTAAACAATAGATTTAACAAACAATGCTTTTAATATTTTGGAAAGATTTCGTTGAATTTGGAAAATTTTTTAAAATCGGATAAAAGTGAGAAATGCCAATTTGATTTGCATCCAATGTAATCTACGATAATTTGACATCTGTTATCAATTGTTTTGATATTTTTTATAAGCATGTCTTAATCACTACAGATGTCGCACCTTGCTCCTATCTCTCGTGGGTGCAATAATAGTTAGATACACAATATACAAAAAATAATTTGAAATTATATTTCTAAATGTCCCCATCCATCACGAACTACTACTTCAGGAGGATTCACCAACAATTTATTCTTGTACTTTACGAGCAAGTATGAATCGAGATGGGTCACGACAATATTCGTTCCAGGTTTCTTATCATTAACTTTGGCCTTCAGAAATATATTAACTTCAGAAATATATTAAATTATTCCTACTCAGACTAAGTAAAGACTAGAGACAGTTTGTTTATGATTAATGTTCAGACAGACGCTGTCTTTATTACCGGAAGCGCTTCAAAAGAGGGAAGTTAATAAAATCCTTCAACTGTCATTTATTGTTGAATGGTGGTTGACAGGTAGATTGAAATCTTCAGGAAATCAAAGAATGGTGGTGGTTATTGGGTTTTATTTTCTGTTGTCGATGGAAAACAAGAAGACAACTGATAAATATACTGTTGGATAGTAGATCAATTGGTAATAGTTTCATATTATAGTAGGACGAAAACACTTCCGGTAAGATGGTTTTACACAAGCTTTTTTCTAATCCGTAACTTCTTTCAAACCTCCACCTCTCTACCATTCGGTAATTCTCGGCAGTTTCTGTAGAGCTGAATCCGTTTCGTTGATATGTTGCAGAGCGCTAGCAGAACTGTCACAGTAAGCTACCCGATCTTCTTCGAATAAGTTTAACTTCTGGTTGAGGGAGGTGGAAACAAATTGATAGCTATTTTGGCGGAAAAAATTCTCAATTTTTTTAGGGAATTACCATAACAAAAGACTGCAAGTATTTGTTCCATCCTAGGTCTATACATTTGGTAGAATCAAACATTC